AAGTCATTAACTCTCATGCTAGCTTGTGCTAATGCGGAGCAAAGTGCTAGAAAGCCAAATGAGGTTCCACTGAGACTTGAACTCAGATCGCTGGATTCAGGGTCCAGAGTGCTAACCATTACACCATGGAACCCTGCCTGAAGCAGAAAAAAGATCTGTGTCAAACAGGCATAAAAGTGTAGTTCCTGGTAAACCGATGGGGATTTTACATGGCCGACGAGAGTTTGCGTGTCATACCTGCTGCGAATCCACTTGACATGACGCCAACAGAGGTTTGCAGGTCCTCGTTAGTATAGTGGACAGTATCTCCGCCTGTCACGCGGAAGACCGGGGTTCGATTCCCCGACGGGGAGTGAGCAGTTTCCTTCTCTGTTCTGCCTTTTACCTGCAATGACCACACACACCTTAATCGCACACTACGTGCATTTTTTTTGCACAGAGTCCATCATTCAAAAACCTGTGGAATTCACACCAGATCCTAGTCAATCTAATAATCTAGTCCTATAATGGGCTTGAAGAAACATGAATTCCACCTGTGCGCTCACAAGTCGAAAAGGTCTTCTCAGAAAGAGCTCCCATCAGAAGAGATGCTAGTCCAAGAGAACACTGCTTGTCAGCATTTTCTCTGTTTACTTGCGTCCCTATACAAATAAGTTCGTGTGTTTGTCTTCTGTAGATTGTGTGCTAGCCAAACAAAGGACATCAAAGAGCTTGTCAACCAGAAGATCAGCTCCCATGACAAGAGATGCAATCTTGAGATCACAATTTGCATTGTCAATACAGCCATAAGTGGGGGAGTGCTTGAAGAATGACACAAATGGGAGTTCCCTCCTTCTCAATAGTCCTACATGATCTGTCATAAAAGTCCACAAATGTAAGAAGCATCGAATTGCCCTCTAATGACGAGAGGGCATGCACGCTCGTTTCCGTAGTGTAGTGGTTATCACGTTCGCCTAACACGCGAAAGGTCCCCGGTCCGAAACCGGGCGGAAGCATGCGTCTTTGTTTCCCCATACTAAAGTGTCTGCCTGCAGGCATTGCTTTATCTTATGGGGTTGTACTGCTGTTTGGCACAAAGAGGAGTGAAAGTACTCTAACCTTGTACAGGGCTCTGACGCTTGTAACCTTTGGATGCTCATGTTGTAAAAAGTTGTCTATAGCCCAAATTTCAGGAAACTTCACACAAATCAACAAATCTCCAGTCGCTATATTTCCTGAAGATGGAGGCACAGACTAAGCTCTTGGAAATGACTGGCTCTAGGTGGCCTGCACAGGACTTGGGCCTATTTTCAGCCAATGCCCAACGTGATCAACCGCATGGCCTCTTTAGATAACGGTTCTGGGGTTCTTAGGGCAGCATATGTTGAGCTGTGCTTGCTTTAGTGAACTCCTAAATGTCCAAAGTTTAAGTGAGCCTAACATGGAGACTACAGTTCAGACTCCTTGCTAGAGTGCGTCTGTCTCTTCTCCATGGCTCCTTTTACTTCAAGGCCATGATAGGAACATGTCACCAAATTTGTCAGAGTGCGAGATTACTCAGTGAGACACATTCCAAAGCCAAGCAAGCCATCACTCACAGTTTCCGTAGTGTAGTGGTTATCACGTTCGCCTTACACGCGAAAGGTCCCCGGTCCGAAACCGGGCGGAAACATGGGTCTTTTCCTTCTTTGGTTACAAGGGAATTGATATTCACTCTTTAGACAACTCTGCTTGTGCAGCATTTTCTCTGTTTTACGTGCATCCCTACTGACAATTAAGTTTCTTGGTCTTGTCTTCTGTAGATTGTGTGCTAGCCAAACAAAGGACATCAAAAGCTTGTCAACCAGAAGCTCAGAGCCTTCAGTGGTGGCAACAGAGTTAGAAGTGAGAAGAGTACAAGGGAATGTTGCTTGAGTCAAGGTGGCTAATGAACGATACAGCAGGAAGCTGAAGTGGAAAGTGCAGCAGAAGAGCATGAGCGAGGTTTGGTGCAGCATGCAGACCATGTGCAGATGAGATCAGCCAACACAAGAGGAGTGGAACTGACTGGGCCACTAACTTGTTCTTTAAGTCATAATCTCATGCTAGCTTGTGCTAATGCGGAGCAAAGTGCTAGAAAGCCAAATGAGGTTCCACTGAGACTTGAACTCAGATCGCTGGATTCAGGGTCCAGAGTGCTAACCATTACACCATGGAACCCTGCCTGAAGCGCACAAAAGATCTGTGTCAAACAGGCATAAAAGTGTAGTTCCTGGTAAACCGATGGGGATTTTACATGGCCGACGAGAGTTTGCGTGTCATACCTGCTGCGAATCCACTTGACATGACGCCGACAGAGGTTTCAGGTCCTCGTTAGTATAGTGGACAGTATCTCCGCCTGTCACGCGGAAGACCGGGGTTCGATTCCCCGACGGGGAGTGAGCAGTTTCCTTCTCTGTTCTGCCTTTTACCTGCAATGACCACACACACCTTAATCGCACGCTACGTGCATTTTTTCACAGAGTCCATCATTCAAAAACCTGTGAATTCCACAACCTAGTCAATCTAATAATCTAGTCCTATAATGGGCTTGAAGAAACATGAATTCCACCTGTGCGCTCACAAGTCGAAAAGGTCTTCTCAGAAAGAGCTCCCATCAGAAGAGATGCTAGTCCAAGAGAACACTGCTTGTGCAGCATTTTCTCTGTTTTACGTGCGTCCCTATAACAAATAAGTCTCGTGTGTTTGTCTTCTGTAGATTGTGTGCTAGCCAAACAAAGGACATCAAAGAGCTTGTCAACCAGAAGATCAGCTCCCATGACAAGAGATGCAATCTTGAGATCACAATTTGCATTGTCAATACAGCCATAAGTGGGGGAGTGCTTGAAGAATGACACAAATGGGAGTTCCCTCCTTCTCAATAGTCCTACATGATCTGTCATAAAAGTCCACAAATTAAGAAAGCATCGAATGCCCTCTAATGACGAGAGGGTACGCAAGCTCAGTTTCCGTAGTGTAGTGGTTATCACGTTCGCCTTACACGCGAAAGGTCCCCGGTCCGAAACCGGGCGGAAGCATGCGTCTTTGCTTATGCGTCCTGATATAAAAGTGTCTGACTGCAGGCACTGCTTGAACTTGTGGGGTTCTACTGCTGTTTGGGACACAGACAAGAGAAAGTACTCAAATCTGGTTCAGGTCTCTGACATCTGTAACCTTTGGATGCTCGTCTTGCTAAAGAGTTGTCTATGGCCCAAATTTCTGCAAATTTCACACAAACCAACATGTCTCCAGTCACCA